CGAACTAGTGTTATACAGCGCAGCGCGTAAGAGAATTTCAATGGAACGCCGGCATTTTTTCCTGAGCCCATTCGTGGATGTCAAGACTCACTCCGTACATCTTCCACCCTACCCACCACTATCTCCCGGAATAAAGCAACCGGTTTCTCCGATTCCCCGAGTTCCAGTCACCAAACCTGGTTCATCTTACAGAATCGACGACATTCTAAGCAAACCAGACCCGCATCCTCCAGTAAGCATGCCCACGACCGTTCACTTCAGATCATATCCTTCCTTACCACAGCGCCGGTACGGCTATGGACCAAACGTATCTTATCTCTGGAGTAACATGTTACAATCTCAGTGGCGAGAAAGGTTCAACGGTATGTTAGTTAGTATGTTTTAATTTCATGTCCGCGGTCTCTTTGTGCAAATTCTTGCTCTTGTCAGCATTTTCAGGTCTGGCCTGGTTACCCGCACGGTTAACAGTGGGTTAAAATTGTTGTTTACCACAATAACTACTATCCAAAATATTAATGCCGTATTCAACGAAGCAGTTGTTGTGTGTCAGTTCTTCTGGTTAGGTACACTATAGTTTCACGTATGGTAGGTATAATACACCACGATTATTTTAACTTTGTCCATTCCTCTTAGTCGCATCGAATTAAGCTTAAATTGTGCCACAGCCAAGACACCAAAAAAGTTATCTTGTGCATTACACTATATCTCTCATCATGTCAATCTCAACGCGATATTTGACTATATGGGAATGAAATCTAAAACGTACTTGAAAATTCGTTTGCCTGAAAAATAATCTAGAGAAATACAATTTAAGGGATGCATAAATCTTCCTGAACAAAAGCACATCTACAAGGAGTTGGTTTCATTCGTTACTTATCGAAAATCTTTAACTTCACCCGGGTCATTATTTCCTTTTCTAATTTGACAGTACAGCGATAATAAATACCATAATCCTTGAGAATAGCACATATCCTCTTCATTTCCTCTCGGCGCTCTTTATTTGCACAAAAGCCTACACCTAAACAAACGCCGTGTACACAATAAAACGACATCTTGGAGTAGCAACAAATTGAAGATTTTGAACTGCACAAAATCTTGCCTGCGAAAGCAATGCTTGCTTGGTGGCTTCTTGATTCGTGTCCTCTCAAAGCAAATTTTAAATTTCCTCCCGCTATTTCCTAAGCTGCGGGTTTTAGGTAATTATATTATATATCATAACCAAAGTTAATGCCTCTAATCTCGAATTAACAAAACTATAACCGTTTATTCTCTCAATTTCTGCATGTTTCTCGCAGCGGCTCAAGTCCATTCGGCCTGCAGTGACAGAGAGACGGACGGCAAACGGAAACATACTCGACCAACGTTTAGCGGACATCAAATATTCGCGCTGGAAAAAACCTTCGAACAGACAAAATACCTGGCCGGGCCTGAGCGCACAAGGTTAGCCTATTCCCTTGGAATGACAGAGAGCCAGGTAAAGGTTTGGTTTCAGAACCGTAGAACGAAATGGCGCAAGCGCCACGCCGCGGAAATTGGCGCGAAAAAAACACACGAAGACGATGAATCCGCCGATGGCGCCCAAATCGTTGATGTCCACGAAAGGCAGAGAAGTCCTTCGCCGGATAACGAACGGTGTTAATAGGCAGCAAGCAACTTACGTAAAGATAAGGAAGAGAAACATTTACAATCTGTGATATGTTAGGAACGAAGGAAACAAAAAATACCCCCAGGGAGTCGATCGAGGACAAATATATTTCAATCTGGAACTCTTGGAAAGTAAACTTTTGTAATTCTTTCGCAAGATGAAAAGCTTATCCAGGGTTCACAACCCTTATGAAGGCGTCAGATGAGAATACATAATAATAGGCCATAAATATAATTATGTCATAGTTTTTATTGCAAATGATGAACTGCTAAATCTCGATAAAGTATCAAGAGAAATTTCTAAATGAAGTGTGATTGGAAATCATTCTGACCCAAAATTTGAAAACCCACTCCTTAAAAGAATTTCTTCTGAATTCGTTCTGCTCAAAGTTGCTGTGATGTGTTATGTGTTTTGGTAGCTTTCCACAGGATACAAATTGCTCAACAACTTTAATTTTTAATGGCATCGCTTGGGTGTAATTTCAGTTTGTCAGGTTTTCCATATAAATGGCTCTGGTTTTTTCAGTGCAAAAAAAAATTATCAACTCTTTTATTATTTTTTTTTTTTTTGAGAAAAATTTGAGCGTGCCTTTCCTGTGTATCCATGTTTTGTTTTCAACTTTTAATCGCCATCTATTGAATCATGCTGTTTGCTATGAACCAGCTGAGTCTACGCAATGTAAACCAACGAAAAACCATATCGAAGGCTTCATGAATAGATTTTCTCAAACTCTCTGCCCTTGTAAGAGCAATGCAACTGGTTTGAAAACATTCATGAATTCCGTGTTAACCTTCACGAATCCGCCTTGCCCTAAATGATATAGTTAAATAATTTAACGAGACTTCCTTCGGCCAACCACGAAGAATAAACAGCTTTCGAAATTGCTAATAATGATTCAGTCAGAAAGTGAACACTGGCCAATGCCTTTTAACACACTCCTCAAGTTCTGGTGGCTTGTTTGTTTACGGGTTATTACAAGCAGGTGGTGATAACCAACCGTCCATACATTATTGTGATTTACGAATAACGTTACCCTGCCCATGTTTCACTAAATATTTTAAAGTGTAAGTCACCGTAAGACAATTGAATCCAGCCACAAACTTACACATAGAGATAATGATACGCGAGACAATCTTCCCTCAAAATATTACGGAACTCTACCACCATAAAATATACGGCCTTCCAATGAATTTAATTCCCGAGTGGGCCGATATCGAAGTTTTCGTTTCATTGTCACTTCAGTCAAAAGATTCTTATGCTTGTATTCTTTGAAGTGCCTGTAAAACGGCATTTTCCGACAATTATTCATGAGACATGCCTAGTCGTACGCATAGCAATTAGAAATGTTTGTATTGGCATTTATGTTCCAAGACGGAAGTTTTACATTATGCTTGCCTTTTTAAGTTAACATAATAAACTCCTATGCGATGAGTCTTAGTCTATAAAAGATAAAACACGGTTCCTTTTCGAAGGATTCTCGAAATAATCTTCTGTTTACGATTGGTACATTTAAAACTAGTTGGCAGACTCCATTTCTTAATTGTCACCTCAGAAGCTTTTTCAAACCAAAGCGGGAGATATAAATGTGCAGTTTTTAATTGCATGGTATCACTTTAATTTATAGCGGCAATAATGACCTGTCTGTCGACATCGTTAGGGAGAAAAGAATTGAGATTAAATCGTAATTAAAATTGTTTCTAGTCTGTGATAACTTTCTGTGGATTAATATCTATGGGTATCATTAAAAGTGGATTATTGGTTCTTTGCTAGTCAAACACTTATAATTATGGAGTAATTGTGATGATTTTTAAAATGCTAACAGGGAGCTTAAACTTGAGACTTTCAAAGATGGTATTTTCCACTGTATATCAGAGATAAGGTAATTCCATCACTTTTAGACGCGAGTCACAGTTACAAGCTGTCGATATTTAGCTATCAATTGCTCAAAATGTTCCGAATTTGATACTTCGAAAATTCACACGATATGGAACGAGCTCTCTTAGAAAGGATTGGTTTGAAGTATTCGTAACAACGCCTTAAGTGAGCCACAGACGTATAATACACAGTTATTTCTTAGAATATTATAGGTGTTATTGCTAAATTCACACGGGTTATATTGTAACGCTTGTGAAAAGGCTGGGTAGTCGAGGGCGTACTTAAAGATTAGACATATTCATTCACTTTAAAACGGAAAGATTGCCAGGATCGTTGCTCTTTGCAGCTGTTTTCAGAGGGCTTGTTTGCACGGACAAACACTATCCAGCAAAATGTTCTTATGGATGATTTTAGTTATATATGCTCAGTTCAAGTTATCTACAAGGAAATTAGTCATGGGTTCTTCGTTCGGCTGGCAACGGCTTAGTAAACACCCGTTCAAACAACAGTATAGAATCATTTACTTCTAAATTCTCTTAAGATTGTCGCAAATGCCTTTTGTGGACAACTTATTCGAATAGCGTATACAATATATAAAATTCAAACATTGTTCATGTTTCTCAACTGTAAAAGACCAGTTTTTTATATAATGATATTGAACAAAATGTATGAGGTTCTTTCTTGTAATAGTCAGTATCGCTAGCTTACTGATTCAGTCAAGTCAAGAATTTACACAAAGAAAACGTTCTAAAGACTTTGATTTCAGACGGAATTTTTCATATGGGGAAGCAGATTAACCTCAGCAATTATTTTTAGTAGAGCTTTCTAATTTGCATAAAATGTTTTCCTAAATCCGTCTTTGGAATGTTTATGAACACTTAAGAAAGTGTGTCTTCTAATCTCGATTTGTTTCGGCCTAATCTATTCTTACACTTAGTGTTAGCTCAAACGAAAATTGACAATTATCTCCGTAATAGCTCATGTATTGAGCGCATTATCTAGCCTTGCCATTTGACCTCATTCTACTAATCATCCTAAGCTAAACAGGAAATTTCAAGGAAAATGTCATACAAAGTAAAACAAAAAGTTCAAACTCCTTTGTCGTGATGTAATTTTAATTATGGTTACTAAAGTCACACCGGAAATGGTTCAATCGTGGCGTAATATTCTTATTGGAACACACACGAAAAAATAGACCTCATTTGTCCCAAACATCTTAGAGACATATCATTATTTGGCTTGAACTATCCATTTATCTCCGAGGCTTTACGGCTTTTGGTCAAGCTTGGGTCGATGCTTGTGCTTGCGTGTGCTTTTGTCACTACAATGCTATGATCGAAACTAATTACTTAAAATCGTATTAACTTTCAAAACTGTTAACAAACATTTAAGTGCACGTGTATAATCCAAGCCAGCACTTCTAGATACGTACATGTATAAGATACACAACCCTGGACAAGTGCAGACTAAGGAAAAGTTCTAATTGAAACATTTTGAAGTGGCGAACACTGCTTGGAAGAAGACAACGATATCTTAATTCAACTTAATTATCTACAAGATGATAATTAATAAACGAAACAATAGGAAAATGTCCACTGAAAAGTAAAACAAAAGGTTAGCCGTCTTGACATTTTGCTGACTTTGGCGACGTCACCACCTGAATTCAAATGAGCGGTCTAATTATTTCCCCACACAAAATCATCAAAATAGGACATTTTAAGAATGCTAAGGAATCCGTTAACAAAGACCATCATCATCGAGTCAAGTGACAAATCTAAGTGCCGTTATCATTCAACTTTGCCCCCAAAATTAGTTAGGGATCGATCATTATTTACCTGATCTCCCCCCCCCCCCCTTAAGACTTTGGAATATTCTTATGATCCCCTTCATTGGCAGTCAACTTTCTATAGTCTCCCTTTCTGCTCTATTGGCGTCGACTGATCCCCCGATCGTTGCGTCCCCTTTAAAACCATGTGATCCCCCAAAATCCTCCAGACCCAAACCCTTCCCNCCCCTCCCACCGTGGTAAATAATAACTGGTCCCTTAAACCACATATTTTAAAGAATTTTTTGTTCTTGTGGCGTCTTTCTTTTAAGTTTTGTGATGTCGCGGACCGGCGAAGGTTCAGCAATTCAATTCATTATTTCGTCAGATGGGAAGCAGTAGTTACCAGGCCACGCATAAACCACTTAGTTTCACTCTTGTCTTAATTCCTTTAAAGAACCAGAACATACGGGTTTTCGTTCGCTACAATCGTATTCTTTGGTAACCGGGAGGAATTTGGGTTGCTAATAACTTTAGAAACTTTTTACGGTGGCTAGTTTACATTATCGACTCGGTTGATAAAACCAAATTATCTGGTAATACCCCCCATCCATCGCAGAACCACAGTTTCTTAACAATTTTACCCCTTTTATTTCACCGTAGGTTCGTAAAATTTGGTGTGTTGAGAAAAAATTCGAAAGGTGGAACATATCTTGCTTTCGATCTGTTCTTTTTTTTTTAACGCAATTCTTCAGTATTACTTTATAAGTATCCTGCGTGGGCTGCTTTCCAGTGGAAAGCCGGCGGAGAAAATGCAGTTTATTGCCAAACAGATTCAGACATCTTGGTGTTTTGAAGAGCTTTTTGATTGAGTGCCGTAAACCAAAACCAATGTAATTACAACAGCCAATCAGAAGAAAGAATAACCTGAAGAGCCGATGAGAACTCAGCGTAAAAGCAAGCAAACCGCCGAAAGCGCGGGAAAACGCAGGCAACCAAGTCGTGATAAATAAGTGTTAGCTTTGCATTTGATTGGTCAAGAAAATGGCGCGAGTTTACTAGACCAACCACAGATCAAAGTAAACCGAAAACAGAGCAGTCCCGGATTACTCTTAAAATTCAATTGAAAATTGCTCCACGCTATTTGAGCTATTTTGGGCGACATAATACGTCAGCAAAGTCAAAACAAAAAGAATTTGACGCGCGTTGAGATAAAAGGATTATTCTAGAAATGAAAAATATTCCAGCTCAGCAAAAACGCAGACGGAACTAAGACCTCCATCAAATATGCGCCTGAGTCATTCAGACTGAATGAAGCAAGCTGGCAATTTTTATCCTTTTTCTGTTTGAAAATTTCCATCATCTTCTCACCAATACAGCTAGGAACTACCAGTTTTTAACCTTAAAGATGTGCATGTTCGCGATTGCTAACGCACTTAAATTCTGATTGGTATTTTAAATAATTTTTTCTGATTAATTTTTTTTTTATCTATCTTTTTATTAAATTCATTTTTGTTATATATTGTTCTAAAAGATTCAAGGCAGAAATGGTAGCCGAAAAAAACAAATCTTAGTCACGGAACGATAATTTTTCCGCCCGCGTTGTTGTTGGTATAAGAAACGTCGACGGCGACACCGTAAACAACGTCGGTTAAAAAAATGAACTTGTATTTTACCTACGAATCTCGCCGGATACTCAAAAGTCCTTCAGATTTTTTTCTCACCGTTCAAAACTATCACAAAACTGAATATGGAACACAGCGTTAAATTATAAATAGAAATTCAAAACATTAGCCGTCGTCGTTTACGTTCTCCAGACAACGCAAAGTTTGGTCTTTTCACGTTGTTGTTTTGCAGAGGACGCAAAGAAATTTACAAAGATTTATAACGCACGTGCACAGCCATTGTTCTGCTCATTAACTTTTTTGTTTAGTGACGTTCCCGTTGCCGTTGCCCTCGTGGTTTTCTTAATTGAAAGATAACTGATGACTTTGCCATGTTGACGTGAATAGTTTTGACAAGTCAATCGTCCTTGAGAATCGTGAGGGTGATTACGCCCCCAACATGACGAGAACAAAATATAATTATATCAAGAAACATAACTGGAAGGCCGTGGGCAGAATCTAAGATTTTCCGATACAATTCAGTTGCACTTCTATGGGCCGGAATTCCACCAAAAGACTCTTATCCCACAAGGGTGATTCCAAAAAGTCAGGCCCAAAGTCACATTCATGAATTTGATCACGAAATAACATCTATTTATTCCTTCCTCTATTAAAAACGTCATAGGAAAGTTATGGCTAAAAACCGATCCACCGAATTTTCGTGAAGTCTCTGGGGCAATAAACTTACATCTATTTTTGGATTTTTGGCGAACGTACTCTCGAATCCTCTCAGTAGCTGGGTCAGAACCTTCTATTCTTTCGTACCAAAAGTTCGAGAGGGTTTTTCAGGAAAAAAAAATCCTACGAAAACACAAATAATGGGGTAAGTTTATAAATAAATCATTGTACTACGTCTGCGGGGTACTACAAGATAGAGTTTCTAAAAACTTTTAGTAGAGAAATTCTAAAGCTGGAGGTTCAAGAATTCCCCCTTTGTCAGAGTGAACAGACAACAACACTGGTCATCAATGAATATTCTGAAATCCCAAATTTTCCCTATTAAAAGTTAAATTTCCCTGACCAAGTAAATAGGAAACTTCAACAAAATCTAGTAGCCTACTGCCTCTTTCCTAACGGCTTCCCGTCCATCTAATGCAGTTCCTTAAAATGAAAGGCCCTCAAAAAAAAAAAATAATAACAACGAAAAAAATGAATAAGCAAAGGGGTTATATTTTCAATTTTCCTGTCTTAAATTACCCTCCTTGAAAATTCCAATTTTCGCCGACTCAAAGTAAAATTCATTGTCTTTTTTGATGATCTTCATAAGGAATTTTATTTCCCTTTTTTGTCTTGGTATTCGCCTGTGTTAACTATGTAGGTCTACTGATTGAATATAACTAATAAATATCCTCTAAAGAGCTTTAAATAATTTCTTAACTTGTTTTGCTTCATCATTTCCATCCATTTTAAGAAATATTGTTTTCAATGTTTGTAATTTGCCGTTTTAGTAAAAGCTGAGTTCTACCAGAAACAAGAAAAACTTGAAAGTGACCTTTTGACTTCTTCACGGAAGTATGAAAGTCTCCAACAGTATAACAACGGATTCAATGAAGAGTTAAAAAACACAATTGTCTGAGCAAACTCCGTTCCTAAGTAGGTAAAAGTAGTGAGCTTGTAAGCATCTCTGAGAATAAGGAACACAAAATATGGAAGATAACAAAGAGCATGGATCAGGCAGACGTAAAACATACTTAGGGTTGTTTTCATATGATATACTGTTCTCGCACTTTGCTGGTTATGTTGTTGGTGGATTGCTCTACGATGGCCTCGCACGACTGAATAAATCTTTAGATAAGTCGTGAACGTAGTTAATAAGCACAGTGAAATAATAATGAGTGCTGCGAAAAATGTAATTGTGATGTTCCAAGTAACAGTAGAGGCGAGGAAAGCCGACAGGAGCCATAATCCAACGTGAAGCTTCACAACCCTCCCAATTGTGACAATTCTTTTGTACCGTAAATGCAGATAAACAGCAAGATATCTATCGATACTTACTGCCGTCGTTGTGAGGAAGGAGACACAGCAGAGCATGTTGGACAAGAAGTTGAATACTACCATAGCCTGCACCCATGTCTGCCGCCAATTAACGATATAAAAAGACTGGTAGATGATATAAAGAGGTTGCACCAGTGAACCAACTCCGAAATCGCACAAAGCAAGGCCAAATATAAGGATATGGGATGGCGAACGTAGGGAGCTGCTGTACCATATCGAGTAAATAATTGCCGTATTCCCCAGAGTTGCCGCAACAGATAAAACCGCATTCAAGACAAAGTTAGCGAAGATCCCAGACACGCGTAGAGGATCAGTGTCTGGCTCGTCATGGTCTCCGTTTGAAGTTGTCAAAATTTTTCTTGATATGTTTTCATTCGTAAAATTGTGGTTGAAATCCATAGTCGATCTCTCCTCTTCTTCCTTCTCTAAGCGTTGGGTGTCGAAGCGAGAATTTGCATTACACCTGTCCGTCCCACTGAAAAGTCGTTGGATTAAAATGGAATGGAGTCTTGACCTAAATTATGTACAAAACACAAGTTTAGTTTATATTGACATTATCGATAAAAAAAACGCTCCGTCATAGTCAGTGACATGATCATTACAGTTCGCCATTACTTATATTAGAAGCATGTTAACGCGTCATTAATTTTTAAATTCACTCGTAAATTTTTGTAGGAACGGGATAAAATTCTTTCAAAAATGTTTCCTAACTTGCTTGAAAAAATATTTATGTCCGTCGAAAGCCATTGCAAATAAATAGTTCTCGTTTAGGCAAAAAAATTATTTAAATTAAATTTATTTAGTTTACTGATATTGAAACTTTCCTTTACAGTCATTAAATTTAATTTGCCACAATCGTTGTCTCCATGGACACGGGTTTATATTTTTATAACACTCTTTGTTTCAAAGATCGCTTTCTGTTGACGTGTTCAAGGTTCTTAATCGACAGCTATCTATACCGGGTCTTTATGACTGTTTCAGATATCATAATCAGGGCTACTAGTTCCAAGATAAATTTGTTTTCTTCCGATCTTTTCACGAGAGTTTAAACACAATTGAAATCAAAACGAAAGAAACGAAAACTTCCTCATTTCAATCTTTTCTTGCCCGAAACCAATATCAAAAGTTCACTAATATTGAAAAGCTTAAAAATATCTACTCAGAGTTTGAAATTCTAGCAAAATCTGTCATGCGGTAATATATTGCTCTAAATAAAGCTTGAAATATGCCAAGTTAAAGATTACCAGGACATTATGGGCTGAATATTTCGCATCAGTTGGCAACATTTATCCTCTTCGAGTCGTCAATATTCCTGCCCCAAGGAGATTCTTGATCGCTATGCTGTCGTAATAAATAAAATAATTACTGAACAAAGGTGAAAGGACTGATTATATTTTATCATTTCATTTGTCTTTTAAAATTGGGGTTTGTGATTTTCTAAATTAATATTATATTCACTATAATGAAACTTTAAATATGCAAGCCTATTCATGGTACATATTTTGTAAATACAAGATAGTGTAAACAAAGGACGAACGAAAAATAACTCCAAACAAATAATTACGCAGCTGGAAACTTGTAGGCTTTTGTAAAACAGCTTTAAGGTTACCGTGTACCTTCAAGGGTGTCTCGCGTGTAAGCGATGAAGCGCGTCCGGTTTAAACTGCATGTAGATATCTAAACCCCTAAATCAAATTAAAGCTTATAGGAATGGCTATCATACTATACCAAAATTTTTCAAAAAAAAATGAATTGCCGAATTTTTCACGACTCCTAAATGCGAGCGCCCGAATCACCGTTTGGACGTTACATGTCAAAGCGAATTTTGTTTTTCGCTTATCCTCCGTTTCCGGGGCCAAAGCGCTAAAAAAATGTTTCTGCGATTTGCCATATTCAATTTCAGTGAAAAGTTACAGTACATTTTTTAAATATGATTAAAAAAATTTGGAGTGATCGTACAAACATCGCTCTTGAAAATAAGTATTTAGAAATAAATAATTCGGACATACGTTTTGTTGTTTATATGTAAAACTAGCTACTGTCAAAATTTGAGAGCAATCGAACAAATTCCCTTTGACTTGTAGCTCTTAAAAGGTGATTCGGGTGCTCGCATTTAGAAGTCGTGACAAATTCGACAATTAATTTTTTTTCAAAATTTTTGGTATAGTCTGACAGCCAGTCCTATAAGCTTTAATTTTATATAGGGGTTAAGATATCTACAGTTTAAACCGGACGCGCTACATNAAATCGATTTGTTCAGGAATTGTGGAAGGACTTCACCCAGTGATCTATAATTTCATACAATCTTGGTTTTGAGACATGAAGTGAAAGATCCTTAATTGTTGTGTGGTAAATAATTAGACTTTAAAAATGCCAACCATATAGGCAAATGTATGTTGATTCAATTCCAGCATCATGCAGAAAGAACAGACAGTATCTGTGTTAAACTGGTCTGTGGAAGACATCAAGTGCAGTCAGACTAAACTGCAGGTATACAGTAAATCGGGATCTGTGTATTTTATGTCTAAATCACATACCAGCACTTCAGATTGCAGGCGAATGGAAGAAAGAGGAGTCATTTTCTAATCTTTTTTTTTTTTTTGGGAGAAGGGCTAATTAAAATTTTTAGAATGTAAATTTATTTTTGTTTTTATACGAGTACTAATACAGATTTTCTTAAATAGCTGATACTCTTATGATTATTCTGTCGAACCTTTCTTTTTGCGCACCTCTATTAAGGTGGCAACCTCATTGAAATGATCATTAATTGTGGTCTTGACTGTACTTGTGTGACTTTATCTGTTGCCTTTTTCGATGATACAACTCTTTTCAAAGAAATAGTTAATTATTGGTAATTATCTACAGGCTGAAACATCAAATCCTTTCAAAGGGGGAAGGTTAATTTTTTTGTTTTTACAAAGTAATGGATTATTGTAAGATTGGCATTGGTAATGCTTCATTTTCTAACTTATTTATTTTACGATTTCAGAAAATATGTTCCCAGATTGCAACAGCACTTGATAAACTTGGTAATTCACAGCCTCCAAAGTTTGCAGATCTATCTCCCCCTGGGTCAACGCCAACTGGGGTTAGTTATTCATGCATGGCTTCTTGCTAATTAGACCTTTGACTTGTTGTTTTGTGGCCCTGTGAATAGGCGCCATATCACATTGTACAGAGAGATTCCTCTAAAATCGGTCATATTTTCAGGGCGTGACACTAACTTTTCAACTTACTAGCCAAGTGGCTAGTGACAACTTAGATGTTACAACAATTTCAGTTTGTTTACTGGCCAAAGTGGCCAGTGGAAATCGAAAATTACTGGCCAAAACTGAAGTTCTACTAGTCTGTGGCTAGTGGGCTAGCTTCGAGCCCTGATTTATCCATGACGTATGTACATGTATGCACCATTTATTTCTATCAAGACAAAGCATCAAACCACAAGATTTAAACCTTCAACAGCTTGCGGTAAATTGGTCTGACAGTTAAGTTAAACTTCGATTGAAGAAACCACGCCACGTATATCATCAAACTGAAAAGCTTATTACGAGAGAAGTACTGTACATGTTGCTGTAAGATCTTGCCTTACAGGCCACAAGATGTTTTTTAGATGGAGTGGTAATGAACGATTATTGAGGTTATGCTATTTTGAAACAGCTATTGGTTGCCGCGCTGTAAAGAACACCTTATTATTACACTCCTGAACATGGGATCTACCGCCAAAGGTTTTGAAAACCAGCCCCTCATAATAATGCATATATACTTTGTTATAGTATCTACTAGTATCGCAGAGGTCAGTGGTTCGAATCCCGTACAGGCCTGATTTTTTTCAGGTCTGATTTTCGCTATTGCATAAATAGCGCTATCTACTGCGAAGGATCGTGCATCATACGTATTTAATACCGCAGTTCAAAATATATGAACTTCATATATTCATTGTATCTGATTTATCATCACGGGTTTATTACGAATCAACTTAACGGCCTGCTCCCAGTTGGCTTGTTAGCTCAATTGGTAGAGCGCTGCACTAGTATCGCAGAGGTCAGTGGTTCGAATCCCGTACAGGCCTGATTTTTTTCAGGTCTGATTTTCGCTATTGCATAAATAGCGCTATCTACTGCGAAGGATCGTGCATCATACGTAGAGTTGTACGTGTCAATACCGAGGTGTTTAGATTAAAATTCTCTGGTCGTTGAAAAATTGTCTTGAAGTCCTTTGGAAAACTACGGTAACCCTTTATTTTTTTTGAAAGACAACAAGTAATTTTTTTTTTAGGAAATGGAGAGGCGGCTGACTTTTATTCTAATTCAAACCAAGCCTTAAGAATTGATGAATGAAAGACGGCTGAAAGACTTCTGTGGGCAGGAATCATTAACATTTAAGACATAGAGGTAGAATTAACGTTCAGCCTCAAGTACAATTATGCATAAACAAATGAAATATTAAAAGCTTGTGGCCTTGTGAAATAACTTTTAGACGAATTATTCAAGGAGTTCCTTTAAAGTGAAGAAGAAGAGAGATGAAGTAAGAATTGTCAGCCGCAAAGAAGTAAGACTTCGCGACGAACTTTGTTTGTCGTCTTTTTCCATCTGTAAATTACGAATTATATGAAACAGTTAATTATAGATATGAAAAATCACCCTCCCTTGCCAAAATTCATCATAAGCAATTTTAAATATGTTTTATTCAGTTGCAAGTAAATAGTTTTATTACATACAGTGATTAGACAGGCTGAATGTAGATTATACGTCCCTCGCATTCAGGAATCGAAAGTAAAAGAAAGACCACTTCGATGTATAGAAAATAAATGTTACAATAATAAATTTTGAGGTGCAATAAATAGCCTGGTTTTTTAAATATTTTTTGTGCGTTCACTTGTAGTTTACATCAAGAGAGGCTAAATCCTATCTTGTCTTTATTAAGAAACACTTAGATATTATGTGCAAGTAACACGGATATTTCATATTGCAGCCTTCAACTGGATTGCGCTAATGATCGCATGCATTCATATTAAAATCAGCTTTCACTGGCTTTGGATGAAAAAATGTCTAGTCTTTAAAATCCGTTTGACGACAGACAAGATACTAACGAATTTCTTTCGCAATTGGCAAAAAGCGAAAGAGTTATTGCGAAATTTAAGTTTTTTTGGGAGAATGTACTACATTTTTCTCTTTTACTGGGAATATACTGATATCAATTCCACATTTAAAACGATACGAAGGTGGGATGAGTGGTGAGAGATAAAAATATCGAGCTCAATGACGTACGAGACGATTAGATTTTTTCAAATTCAAATGAATTTACATCAAATTTCTGACAATGCACATATGAATTGATAAGTCTTGAATTCTTGGCAAAAAAGGTTATTTCAACGCCTCAGCCGTATTGTTCGCAAGGGGGGTTAACGTTAATCTGGGTTTAAAAGTTAACCTTGGCTTTAATTTCGCATGTTCAAGAGCGCGTATTAGAGCTAGGTTTGGTTGGGGGTTATCTCAATAAAAATCGAATCTAACGGGAAAAAAAAAACAAATTGCAAAGCTATATAACTAAATTAAAAATTTACACTAACCCCGGGTAAATCAATGGTGTTTTGAACAATTCGGCCCCGCTGCAATGGGCAGAAGTTTACTTGCAGTAGAATGTGTGCAAACATCCCCTGATCAAATAACAGATATACGCACGCAGTCTATTTTACAGATAAATTACTCGCGAGCAAGCTCAATCTCTTCGGCACTAACTGAAGTGGACGAATATGGGAGGTCAAATATTTAGGACTTTAAAGTAACCGGACACTAAAATTAGGGTTCGGGATGGAAAACGAGCTGGGCAGAACCCCACCATCAAGCATTCTGCGTGAACAGCAACCACACGCATGAGCTGCAGCCCCACCCCCCTCCGTCCACCCCATTCACCGCTCCCCTTCTCCCGCCACTTCCCTTCCCATGAAAACTGATATGACACCTGCATTTTATCATTTCTCAAACGACCGGCTCATCATCATCGTCATCATCTTCTCTCGGACGTCTTCTCCTCCGCTTCTTGCCTGATTTTTTTCTGTCTTTCTCTGGGGAATCGCCAAACATTTCGTCCACAAGCTCTTGATTATTTTCTTCCGTCAGCTGTTGATAAGAGCCTCTCTTCTGAGGTGCATGTTGCTGATTATCTGTCTCCCTTTGGGAATCATTTTGCTCATCATCTCTAAGAGTGCGATAGCCACGAATTGACTCGTTCAGGTTGAATCCTTTCTTGCTGCCCTTAAAGTTTATGGGTGGAAGTTCGTCTTGGTCCTTCCTGGACTTTTTCTTCTTTTTACTTTGTTTTCTACATAGATTTTTAAAAAAGGAAAAAGAAAGAAGTTGAGGTGACATTTTCTTCCCATCTTTCTCTTTCTAGCATACTTGCATTGAATTAAATAATGGATGAATGAAAGAATAATTTTGCTGCAGGTCATTCATTTTAAATCAAGGAAGACAGACTAACCACGTGCTACTTCAGGCAAAAACAGAAATTCGAAGTCTTTAACTGAACTCTTTGGTAAAAGATCTTATCCATTCACATTAGAGGGTGGGTTCGCCGAATAAAGGAGCTCTTGGGACTAATTCCATAAGTTGTATGCCCCAAAACAACGAACCTATACACAATTTGGAGAGATCAACTCAATATCGTCCCTTACACCGCCGCCAACTATACTTACAAAAACAAAATTTGATAGGTAGTTATAAACACGAAAAACGTAAATCCAACAATCACCGCCCACGGGTTCGATATTTTGAACCCTTTAGATATTGAAAATTTCATTGATTTGAAGGCAGCCTTAACAATAATTAGTGAATTCCAGAGTGCGTCAGGTGCTACTAAACAGTGCAATCATTCACTGTACATTTGTATGGAAATTTCATGTACTCTACCAAACTACCAAGTTTCCCTAAAACAAGTATTATAAACTGGGTAAGATTTAAGAAAAACTGACGTTTTCCCATCAGAGGTCCCCTTCTCCACAGGAATTGAAATGCAGATGTTTGCTGAGAAACAATTCCCAAAACACGAAATTTAAAACTCTATATGGTTTAAACAACTCCAGCAACTTCTTGGGATAAGTCCTTGACATTCATATGAGAAACAAAAGCACTTTAATTTTACATGGATAACGGCCAAACGTCTGCCCATGTGGCGTGTTGTCAAGCTGTTGTCTCACACGGGTTACAAATAGCCACACAAGCCAATACGTCACGGTGTTTTAGAGGCGTATAACTTTTTTGGTAAAGCTCAAAACAGAATGGTAATTAAATAGGATACCCGCACTAAGATAAGCTTTGTGTTCGAAAAGTCTCGAGTTTTCCTTTTCCGTACTTTTGATTCCCTGAAAATATTTTAAAGAATGTTTCAAATTTCTATCGCTTGTTTTACAAGACAGTGGTTGCTTATGTTTTCCTATGAAATTTTGCGCGGGAAATTGGCGTGCAGCCGGCCAGAATTGATCCCCAAGCGCACGTCCGACGTTTGGCAGCTGTGTTGTATAATTGCGGCTCAAATGGAGATTACTTTACCAGAATATTGAGGTAGAGAGTTAAGTTAGATTTATGAGACGTAAGAAGTCAGTTTAACGTGCAAGGTTAAAGCAGTAAAATTATAGAGAATAGCACACATTAACGCCACCACTGTTAGTTCAAATTCAATTATACTTTGTTCGCAAGTTAAATGCTGCTTGCGGTTTCATTTTGTGCTGCTAGTTGTGCTGGCTAAACAACCAAGAAAACAAAACAAACGAGAAAAGTAAATTAAAACAAAATAAAGCACAAAAAGCCGCTATAGTGCAAATGCAAATCATGATTAAGGATTCGTTCAAATAACGGAGGAAGTAACGCAATTTGATCACACTGTGGAGGTCACGTAATGACTGACCTGTCATGTTACAGCTGTTGACTAAAGACGTCTTCTTATTGGTTGTGATTTGGATCAGACGGAGGAATCTCACTGAAAGCACACTTATGCGATTACTATCAAAGTTAAACTTTTTGACAAATTCTGTTGTTGCTCGTTAAATTTCTACTTTTGATTATCCAGCGCTTTCACATCACAAAGTATGCAAAATGCAAATTTTGGGGATAACTTTGGCTTTCAGTATATTTTCCTCCCTTTAATTGGTGTTATTTATGAGTAAAAACATTTTTTTTTTAGAGAAAAGGTGAACACGGCTTACACTATTTGAATCTATGGACCTAGCTACACTAACAAATAGTTAATTCTTTATTTAGCATTCAATTTAAGGCCAGGAACTCCGCACTTGGCTGCTTCTTCCAGAACACGTTAGTTCGTCACACCTTCACATATACTCAAACCAGTTTGAGTTTGTGCGACGCGTTGCGGCGATCGGAGTATCATTTCGTTACAACAGACATTTTCACTTTTATGCCAGGCGAAGACGGCTGTCTCTGCGACATATAGCGATCTTATTACTGCGATCTTATTGCGTCCTAGTACAGACAGCTTAGAATTATCATTAGCTGGAGAAATTGGCATTTAGAAATCCATAGCATTAAGAAATGAGCAATACTTTTTCCTGAGTAGGCGTTAAGCTAAATGATTCAAAAGGAAAATATGCGAGTACAGCGTCGTCAAAATAAAGGGAAAAGTAGCACATGAGGCCAGAATCTATCTGTCCAAAGTCAAATTAATTCCGTTGGGATGAAAACCCAAAAATAAACAGGCTACACGTACCTTATTGCCGGAGGCGTGGTCATATGGATGGAACTTCTCCTTCGGATCCTGGCCTCCAATGCACTTGGTCTTCTACAACACAAAAGTTTAACCTATAACTTCCACACTTTTATTGGCTTGTCCCTAACTTGCGTATCAGTGAAAAATAGATAGATACATTGTGTATCTTTAAACGGTGCAACGTTACCCATTCATAAGTTGAAATCTGCAATGGAGAATGACTTGCATAACTACTGCGCGCTTATCCGCGGTTGATGAAGCATTCTTATCCGCGGTTGATGAAGCATTCTTATCCGCGGTTGATGAAGCATTCTTAAGGATAAAGCGAGAGCAGTATTGTTGCTCAGCCTTGATAACATGCTAGTGAATCGCAGGTAACCGCTAACACTTTATCAGTTTTCCGCACAGGTTTTCCAATACCCATGAATACTCTTTGGTGGAGAGAGGAATTGTAACAGCGAAGTGGCTTGCCCAAAAACACAGCACGGCTCGAAGCGGGAGCATTCGATCCAGAGTCCTTGGCGCTAACAATAGACCTCCATGTCTCCCGTATAGCGCGAACACTCTCCGACAATTTATCTAACAAAAACTAGTGCTCAAAGTAAAGAGGTAATATTGTGCCATACCACTTAAATCTATTACAAACTTACCGCAGGTCTGTGATGGTCTGTTTACTTCCTTTACTATGGCCTGAACCGTAGATCTTGGAGAGAAGCTCGTCGATTTCGTTAGGTGATCTAAGAAGAAAGCGTCGTGCATGTACATCATTATCAAGAAACGAATTTTACAGATCCTCCAGGCGTATGTTTAAAGTCAAAGTCATCGTTATTTAAGCAGGGTGGCCCTTTCAGCACTAGGCTGGTATCAATAGGAGCCCTGCGCAATTAATGATTACTACATAATAATTGAAAAACTACTACAAGATAAAAATACAACAATCATGTAGTATGTTTAGACATTTTACTGAACATTTCAGGCTGTCGAAGGGCCCGCAATTGGTTGGCTCTTGAGTAACTGCCTCAGAATCAAATGAAAAAGACCGCCGGATAATATAGAGGTAAAGAAATAGTCCTCGCAGCTGAGCTGCAATTAAAGGAATTGTCAATAAATATGACAGAACTACTGATAACGAAGTTAGAACTTACTTTTTGGGGAAAAGGTACTTGAGTACAGATTCAAGTTCATCTTCCTGAAGTTTCCCTTGTTGAACTAAAATGGAGATCAACTTGATATTCTCAAAGAGAAAGAGAGAGAAAAAATATCAGGCCCATTCAGTGGAAAAGATTAAAGGGAATCGAAAGGCTTCATTCGATAGCGTTTAGGGCTATCGTAAGTAAAGAAGTACATGTAAGATCTACACATAGCTCTAAAGTCTATTTGCTTGATTCGCGCAAGTGTACATATTTATTGCACCGGCACCTTGTTAATATCTCAGATACGTCAAATAAATCTCATTTTCAATAGAATCAAACTCGTTTCCTAGTTGACAATCCCAAAGAGTTAGTCCAATTTTATCCCACGATAAGGTAATATTTGCTCCATTTGTGCAAAACTTGTTTAATACAAGCCCTTCTTACTCTCAACTGAGAGACCAAAGTACTCCTGATTGCATTGATTGGTTCGCACAACTTAGAACAACAGTCCTAACCAATCAGATGCCAAATTGAAAACCCCTAGGGATTTGGGCACGCGCGTTTTCCCGCGTTTAAGGCCGGTTACTTTTTGTTTATTTTAGTTCGCGTTGGTTCTGCCTGAAAATTTCCTCCTTCCTGATTGGTCAGTGAAACCCTTTTGCTTCGGTTTCAAGACACTCGACAGAAAAGAGTTAAAAAAAACACTATCCTTACACTACCTGTTCCTCAATTGCTTGCATTCTCTTGATGTCAAATGTCATCTTCAATTCATTAATCGATTGGTCAATTTCCTTCTGCAATCTGTTCCTCATTTCGTTACGTTCCTTCTCGTGTCTCGCTTTCAAAGCAGCTTTTCTCAGCTTCATGGCCATGTTGTTCACGTTCAGGTTGTTTAAGTATTGAGTTAACTCATCCTTGGAGAAAAAAATCATAAAAAACAAGACATTAAGTTAAATGTTCAATTTTGATAAAAAAAATAAAATAGAGGGACTTTTGAATCTCTGTTGGAATGTTGAGCAAAATATTTCGGTGCACCTTTGCAAGAAATCGTAACATCACATTAGAAAACATTACATTTGTTGCCAGCAGTCATCGACATACTACTCATAAAAATAATAAGCAAAAACAAAATTATACTCAAATACTTGCGAATGGCAGAGAGCTGTGTGCTACTTGTAACGCTGTTCCTTCTTTTCTTACTATTTTGAGTTTGTCTCAAAGATCCCTAATTAAGAGTTCTTCGTTGGGTTCATTCCCTCTCCTACATTTACATCAGCATCTAAACTTTAAACGTTTTTCTGAATTTAACTTAAATAATACAAGATTCAGTGAAGCACCTTCTGTTTCTGGGCAAGAGTTTCTTCTCTTTGCTGCATCCTCTCCTGAAGGCGTTCTCTCAGTGCCTGTATGAGAAGTAGTACGTAAGTCAAGTAAGGGAAATGGAAGAATGACTAAACGAAAAAAACATTTTATCGTGTAGTCTGATCTTCCAGGTGAAAGCAGTCTTGAAAAGTACTGTTATCAGTATCAATGACAGACATGTTGGAGAACTTGAGCGAAAGTCGTCATCACAATAGAAGAAGAAGCTGTGTATTATAAGTCAGGTTCGTAAAGACTGATTGAGCGGCGTTGCCGCGATTAGCAGTGAGACAAGAACAAATACCGCTGGAAAAAGATCAAGTATCTCCATATGCCAGATAAAATGGTACATGTGAATATATTACCAAGGATAAAACCTTTTAAGAGAGATCGTATCCACAAAATTGATACACACCTTTTCCTGTCTTTCTTTCTGTAGTTTCAAATTATCTTCAAGATTTTTTGTATCCTGTTAAGCAGAAGAAAATATTTTAAAATATACGAAGCGAGGCCCAAGAATGGAACTAACAGTCCCATCCAGTGAGTTTGTTAGGATTTAGCCCCAAGAAAAAAGAGTAACATGTACCTTTTGATATTTTTCCATAATTTTCTCTGTTTCAGGATCCTTGAAGGTTCCTTTGGATTCTAATTCATCGATTAAACCTGCTTGAAGCTGGCCCAGTGCCTGTTGCTGCATTGCTATCTTTGAGATCTGTTGAGGATATAATGGTCGTTCAAATTTAAAATGGAAAAAAATATGCTTGAAATCTGGTGCTGTGAGAAAGAAATCAATTTGTAAAAGTAATATTAGTACTTCTTGCAACATGTAAGCTAGACAAGTAAACCTGAGAAATGTGTCATTTTCCACGCCCCCAATGGGAGACACGTTTGACTGTTTGTCTGTTTTTGTTTTGTTTACATACACAAATAAATTGGATTTTGAGAGCAAAGTAGACCTGCTCAGAGACAAAGACTTGGACACAAAACTTAAAGCTTCGTGCCTAACTGTACTCCTTGTATTGAATGCCTGGGATATTTATGGTTCCCTACGCATAAGAGCAGTGGAGATGCCAGAGACAGGGCCTCAACAGTCCGAGATCTGTGACTGAGATCACCCATACATGGTTGGTCCGGTCTGAGAATGAACCCTCCAGCCTCACCGCAGTTCAGTTTCCTTGCAATTGAGTTGACCAAACGTTCCTTATCTTCCTTCGCTCCGACGAAGGGCTAACGCTCGGAACGTCAGCTTTTGTAATCGTTACGGTGGCCAATTTACCATTTCAACTTTTTTGATATATCCAAATTATTTCGTTACTCCCACGGACGCAGCCCCAAACAGTTTCTTTCGAAACTATCAGCCTTTGTTCCTTATCTTAAGCAGGTACACTTCCTTCGTGAAGGTGCAAGTTGAGTCAAGGAGTAATACATCTTTTGAAATTGCTGCGACAGTGTTGCAGAGGTAAAGAATGAATGAGGTACATACACAGAGAAATGCAAGATATCTCTCCTGAAATAAGCTAACAGTTCTACCTGTTTTGCCTTCTCAATCTGTAGGGTTGCTATGATTGCACCCAGTTTTTCGTGATGTTCCTCGAGCCTTTTGGATCTCTCTGCAAGCATTTCTTGTCTGACCTGAAACCGTTATAGATTGCTGAAACCGATATCGATTGCACAACACAAGTTTTAGCGAAAAAAAAAATACAAAGAGGAAAAGCAGAAGTCTAAAGGCGCAATAAAAAAACAGCTATTGTTCAAAGGCTGCCGGATTTCACTGTGGTGTGGGATATTCAGGGTTTACTAAACAGTTTCACTAAACAGTTATCTAGTGCAACAGCACAACTGACAAAATGATGCTATAGCCCCAATATTACTCGACTCCTTAACCAGAGCCGCTTTATATCAGAACTCCAACAATAAATACCACAAATCATTGTGACAAAGGGCGTTTTTCAATTGTTCATACCTAAAGACATTTTTCTACGCGGAAAGTTTCAATTTATGGGCAACTTCTCAGGTTTCAACGAAATCGGGGTTAAATGAGCCTGTGAGACTAATAAATATAGGTAAAACTTGCATATTTTGGTATTTTGGTGCTAGCACACTCGGTGGTTCATAGTAATTGTCAGCTGCCTATTTAAAGGAAAATTAGTTGTGGGCCAATAGCTTTGTGGGTACTTTGAGAAGAAAAGAGAGTCACATAGCAGGACCTTTTGGATACGTATAAAGCTAACGTGTTCAAAATAATATATTAACAACGATAAAACATGAAACTAAACCCTATTAAATGTAAAGAGATGTTAATTAACTTTATGTTATATCCTAACTTTACTCGCAGACCATTAGTTGTTGGTAACAACAATATAGCACGTGTGTCGACTTACAAGATTCCAGGAGTATTCATCGATAGCGACCTTAGGTGGAATAGTCATGTTGACCACATATATAACAAAGCTTGCAAGAAGCTCTACTCCCTACGTATTCTACTTCGAGCCGGCGTTGACCAAGGTAGCATGTTAAAGGTCTATACAAGCTCTGTTAACTCTGTTCTAGAGTACGCCGTGTCGGTGTGGCAATCTATCCCAGGTTATTTGTCTGACAAAATTGAATCCATACAAAAAAGGGCGCTTAAAGTGCACCTAAACCCAAACATTTTTTGGCTTAACGGAATAAGCGTACTTTTGAGAGTATTTCTGTTCGAAACTTTTTTTATTTGCTCAAATCTTCAATTTTCTGTGCCCAGTCAAAATACGGAAAATCGGCCGCCATCTTGGCTCACGACCGAGTTTAAAGAGGAATGGTTCTAGCGGGTAATGTGACGTCAGATCGAGAACACAAAAGTCTGCATTTCACACATTTTCACTTGTTTGATAAGGTTGTCGTCGATATTGTCCGAAATATGCTGACTAGGTGCGTTGTATGAGGATGTAGCAACGTGCGAAATTTGCAAGAGGGTATCGCGCTTCATACATTCCTCGTACAACGCACCTAGTCGGCATATTTCGGACAATATCAACTACAACCTTCCCAAACAAGTGAAAACGTGTGAAATGTAGACTTTCGTGTTCACGATTTGACGTCACATTACCCGCTAGAACCATTCCTCTTTAAACTCGGTCGTGAGTCAAGATGGCGGCCGATTTTCCGTATTTTGACTGGGCACAGAAAATTGAAGATTTGAGCAAATAAAAAAATTTTTGTACAGAAATACTCCAAAAAATACGCCTATTTCGCTTAGCGAAAAAAAAATTTGGGGGTTTAGGTGCACATTAAGATAATTTCCCCGTGTGCTGATAGCTACTCAGATGCTCTCGAGTTAGCACGGGCGGAGACCCTTGTGTATAGAAGAGATAAGATATGTAAAGAACACATGTGCAAAATAAAGGATTTAAACCACCCTCTTCATCCTCTTCTACCAACACGCCTAGACTATACCTGTCCCTACACCCTAAGGCACAAATCAGACCAGCTGTACCTTTACAGATACGTTACTACCTGTGGAACGAAGCGCACCGAAGACTTTTTCACTTCTAAGTATTTTTTAACAAATGCGATGCATGTTCTGGTGTGGTGTATATAACTTGAACTTAATGTGTACAGAAATGTGTATAGTCGATCTTATTAAGTTTTCATTGTATTATAACTCGTTAATTTAGTAATTTACTGCAAGAGAGTTTAATAAACTGTTATTTATTCATTTATTTATTAATTTATTTATTTATTTATTTATTTAAAAGTATCCATACCGTTTCCATTTCATCATCGATTTGGAGCTCATCCTCCTTCATCGCCGCAATTTTCTCTTGCTCGTGTTTCTTTATCATATCTATATCTTCGCCTTCCACTAATATTCTATCCTCGTAATCCCGATCCTAAAAGAGGTTAAACAGATAAAATACATAATCCAAGAAATAAGGGATTTCTTTCATTTAGGAAATAACCGCCAGTGATTAAGCCTCTCTCTCGTTCACTTGCAAGTTATGGATTAATTCTCTTGAAACAGGATCAAACGCAAAACGAATCCAATACGTGGGAAAACTTTTAAATTAACTCCAGTCCCTTTGAGACGCAAAAATAACGGCACAGAAAAAAAAACTCTTTCGCACTCGAATTTCTCACTCGCTTCTGTGTCAATTTTCGGGCGAAGAAGGTATCGATTTAGGGGCTTCCCCTAAAATTTGTCAGCTAATTAAGAAATTTATTACCTTTGTCTCATGCATTTGTTTCCGTTCCAACTCTTCCATTCTCCTCTTCCTCCGCTGTGCAAGCTTGTCCTCCAACATCTGCCGTTGACGAAGTTTGTTTAGGGTCAGACTAAAAAGAGGAGAAAAAGGAAAAAAGACAAATAAAAATTAAGCGGCATCTATAATCACTTGCGTCGACTGACAAGCAAGCGGTGGTGGTCGGATCTTGGCACGAACCCGGCAGGATCTAAAAATGCGACACCAAGACAAAAGCATTTGGAATAAAGCTCTAACAGGGAGACAGTAGTTAACAAAACCTGGAACGTGAGACTTCAGCTAAGTTATTTGAGAGTAGACGGAGATTTGAGGCTCCCCAACCGAGGCTAAATGTTTTAGGGTACGACTAAAACACGAGTAAAAAGTAGTAAAGTGAGGCTGATGAAAAAAAAAAAAAAAAACCTACCTGCTTTCAAGTGCAGCTAAGTTCTTCTCGTGTTCTTGAATTATTTTCTCTCTTTCCTCTTCGGACATCGCAACTTGATTAATGATCAAATCCCTGTAAAGATTGAAAAGTTACGCCTCGGTCGCTTGACGCTTTATGAGTACACTTGCTCTCCTATCAAACAATTGTTGCAATGCACATCTAAAGAACTTTCATGTCCACCGAGCCTTTCAGCAAGAAATACATTCCATTGTCCACTCCCAACTACTGTAGAGAAGGAAATAAGTGTGCAGCTCGAACTGGGAACCTGAGTGTTAATTCCGTCCAGGTTAATAAAGAGATATGGAAATAAGAAATTTGGAAAATAGTAAAAATAAACGGAAAAAAGGTCAAGAACAGAGATGAAATCATTAAAATCTTTCTGCACTCTGAGACAGTAAAAATTTTCCACTGCATACGCAAATGAGTTTAGTTGAAACCAATGTAAATGTTATTTACAAGGTCTGCCAGAAAGAATAATTCGAGGACTCACCCAACGATCTTGTCCTCTTGTTTCCTGATTTTGGCTTGTTCCATTTGTTCTTCTTTCATTTTCTTCTCTAAAGCAGCGCGTTGTTTTTCTAGTCTTTTCTAAATTAATCAACCAATCAATCTATCAGTAACAATTAACCCGGCAAGAAAATTTACTGATATTTCAGGTGTAGTTTGCTCCTGTGGAGCTGTGGAGTTCATATTAATGTACTTCAGCAAAAGTGCGCGTACAGGTAAAAGCAGGAAATATTGTGCATCGACCCCCAAGCCTGTGGCTTTTCAGATTCATATCTCAAAGACTCTGCAATAAAGAAGTTCTTTATCACATTACAGGATTTTATATGCCACTACTCAAAGTCTGTCTAATACCAGATAAGGAAAGCTACTCTGGAAGCAAACTTTTTCGGTTAGAGACAACTGGTTCGCTGAGTAAAAAATATATATATATAGACTAAAAACTAACTAACCTCCAGCATTCCCCTTTGACGTTTTCTCTCTTCTTCTCTCGCGTCTTGCTGCATCGCAAGGTCCGCCATATGCCGTTCCAAAATTGCTTCCTTTTCAGACTCAGATAAACCTACAAAAAATTCCAGTTTACATCGGTGTGAATCCACTTTGTTCTATGATTATCTTTGAAATTCATTAGCTACAAACCTCTGAAATAATCAGAGTTAAAACTGGAGCACACCTTTCGATTGAGTTTCGTAAAACCAAAACCAAAGTAATTATAAAAGCTAACCGATAGATCGAACGAGATCTATATCCTTCTAATAAATACCTTTACCTTTAACTACCAACTCCTGATACATTTTTTGAGTATTGCTTTTTATCATCTGGTTCCCATCGCTTGTCTGTTGATCTCTGAGGGCTTCTATTTGTTCAGCAGCCTTAAAGAAAAAAAGCCATACAAGTCACTCTCCAAGTACAACAGAATGGACGAACTCACTGGGACATACAATACTCCTTTTCGCAGCTCTGTTTTTATGCATCACAGCGGTCAAACGTAGAGCATGCGCAAGAAGATCTACCTTGGGTGACCGCGCGCCAATTCCAGCCCGAAATTTCCGACAAAAACATAACAACCGCTGTCACGAATTAAGAGGTACAGAGCGATATGCTCGATGATAACCAAAGAGGACCACGTGGGACTCAACTTCGTACCCAGAACAGGTCAAACCACGAAATGTTGGCAAAAGGCTCGGTGTCAAATTTGATGTATTACTTTGAAAAGGGTGTGGCTTAAGACGGCGAGTCCAAGGGTGTAGTGGCACATTTTTACTCAGCGATAATCTATATTAAAACAACCTGCTACCCCCAACCTCAAACTACAAAAGCCTGATTACGTCCCTGTTTAATAACACTGAACATTAAATTAACAAATCGACAGCGGTTTACCGTGGTCTGTACTCTTATTGACAACGATATTCGTCATCCCGGTGGTTAAATGCTGCTGTGGACTCACGAGGCACAACCCAGTAAGCCCGCGCTACACCACTGTCGATTTGCTTTTTACCACAATATCGACGTGAAATAAAACGATTATTTCAGTGCGTGGCCATGGCGTGACAAGTTAACGCGAGCATCGTTGTCTGTACTCTTATCGACAACGACAAATTGGCCAGTCCGGTTGCCTCTATAATGTAGATGCATAACAGACACTTTTCTGGCACGTTGTGAGAAGAGCTTACCTCTCTGTCTGAAGTTTGCTCTATTTCCTCTATTTCTTCCCGATGTTTTTGCAAAATTTTCTGCTTCTCAGTTATGGAAGACACAGTATCTGAAAAAAAAAAAAAGTTGCACTAGCGTTATATTCCTATTGTTAGGGGTAAATTCAACCGTCTAGAAGCTTATATTGGTGAGTTCCATTAAATTAATCTAAACAGATATCATTTATGGGATAGCTTCATCAATTTTGCTGCAAAATAGTTACTCAGATACCTGCAATAACTGACAAAAAGAAACGAAATCAACTGATAAACAATCATTCGACAAAGCATTAACAGATCAATAAAATGTGATAAGCGTCCCATATGCTGCTACGATCAGAAACTTGGTGACAGGCGTAAAGTAAGATGAAAAAAAATTGGTAAATTCATCTCACCAATTTCCACTCGTTCAAACTTCTCATCCTGTTGTTCTTCAAATTCCTTGATTTCCCGCTGATGCTCGCGCACCTAAAATCAATTAAAACA